TCCCAACTGCTCTTCACTGCCCTCCCAAATTCACAATGTACACTGCAATTTGTTCTCCAAATAGGCTTCATGGAGGACTCAGAAAAATATAACCATGAATGTTTGAAGGTGGTTCATTTTCCAACCATACTCCCAATAGGTGCGCCTTGACATGTACGGCCCTGGGAAATGGGGTGTAGACTAAGCAGCCGATTCCGTTGGAAGGAAGAGGCCCATTTTTTTCTGCCCACTGAACTGGGGATGGTCCTTTCACCCACTATGCCATGTTGCTGCAACGTAATGTTGGCCCTTCTCTGTTGATGGCCAAACAGGCGAGGACCACTGACCCTACACTTTCTTTTCCATTGTACCTCAGTTGCCTGCTGCCTCTAGAAACCTTGGGAGGCACAGAATATCTCAGAGTGCTGGATGTGGGCCCTTTGTGGATAGTGTGTTTCTTCCCCTCAAAGACCATCTCAGAGAGAGAGATGGGTATATTTCATTCCCACCTGAGCAGATGACAGCAGCATCTTCTCCATGGCCACAGTTGTGTGAGTTCCAGTCATTGTGAGGGCAGCTCCACAGGTAGGACTCATGGCCAGAGCAGCGCAGGTCGTCTAGGAAAATTGGCCCTGAGCCTTGACCAAAACGGGCACTGCCAGGGGCCGAAGTGGCTGAGCCACAGCCCAGCTGCCTGCAGACCACGTTGGCGTCATTGATGTCCCAGTCGTCGTCACACACAGTGCCCCAGGAGCCTCGGTACAGGACCTCCACGCGGCCCTGACACCGGTCCCCTCCGCTCACCAGCCTCAGGGCCAAACCAGACTCAGTCCCTGAGGGATAAAGAACAGAAATCCTCCTCCATCTGTATCTTAAGCTATAAGCTGAAAACATTAGGAACCCCAGGGGCTTCTTCGTGGCCTAAGGCCCCTGGGCAGGTATTGACCTTTCAACATGCCCAGATGTTAATCTTCACCTCGGGTAATGGAGCAGAGACACCCCAATTGGCTGAAGGCTAAGGATGCTCCAATGGAAAGAAGCACCCCATGACATGGATGGAGGTGATGTGGTAGTCTGGCCTAATCCACACTGGGGACACCCTAGATGGAGCTCTAAAGCTCCTGGTACGTGCTAAGTCCTTGCCTTCATTAGCAAACTATTGGCTTCAGAGGCATCCTGACTTGGTTCTGCCAAAATCCCAGGACATGGTGCAAGTCTGTAGGCAAGGTGGAGGACCAACACATAGCCCTCCTCTTCTCAGGGCTCTACCCCATGGGCCTGGGAGCCACCAGAGAAGCATGGTCCCAGCCCTTGAGAGGCCTCCAGGGCTTACACTGAGAACCTGGGTAAGAACTTTCCTGAACATAAGCCCAGGATTCCATTGGAGTCAGCAGGACAACCTCTAAGATCAGGCCCAGTGTCTGATCTTCAGAGACTTCTTTATCTCCCAGCTGTACACACACACACAAACATACACACACACACAGAGATAAGGATTAGGAAAGACACACCCTGAGATGGCTCCTGTCCCTTCCAAACCCAAATGTTATTTGGAGCTGAGAATGATCCTAGGAGAGAGGACTGAAATATTCACCTAATTCTCTTACTGAAGCTGTGGAGCTGCTGATCCTGGTGGTTTCTGGATATGGTAACAAAGGAGAAAAAACAGAGCTAGACATCATGGAAAGCACTTTTGGAAACCTGTTTTTGGCCGGCATCGTGCTAGTTGTCCATGTACATCCTGCCAACTTCCACCTGGGTGTGCTGTGCAAATTCCACTTTTCCCCTAGCTCCCCTAGCTCCCCTAGCATTTCTGGGACAAAAGCCTTGTGAGGTCAGCCAGGTCCCTCTACATCTTTAAGCCTGGCATGTTCTTTTGTCCCTTAAAATGTCTTTACCACCTTCTATCTTGACTCATGTAGATCTGAGGGGTTTGCCATATGTGAAGCTTGGGATAAAGAGTCAGGGGCATTGAGGGTCAACATGGAGTCAACTAGGCATCCCAGTACCTAGAGCACCTCCATCACCCATTGCACTCCCATCCCCAAGAAATGCTGTCCAGGCCCCCTTGGAGGCAGATATGACTCCATGGAATCGGAGGCCTTTGCAAGCACTGAGTAAGGGAGAGGAACCAGCCTGCCCTGTTGGCTCTTCAATAGGAAGTCGGTGGTCATCAGCGTCCATTCTCCCACTCAACTTCTCAGCCTGGATTGTATTGCAGCTGAGATTCAGGGCACAAGTGGCTAGTTCTTTGTAACTGCAGGCAGCCACCTCTTGGGACAGTTTCCACATACTGGTTGAAACCTCATGGAATGACGGGAAGATGAGACTCTTGTGAACCCCATGTCTAGTTAAGAACCACCTTCCAGGATCTCAGTGACAGTGGGGAAAATTAAGGTGCTCCCAGGTTTGACAGAGAGCAGAGAGATTTGACCACCCTGGGGCGAAGAGGGATAGGTGGGCAGAGAGACAAGCCGGAGTAGGGTGGCTAAGGACTCACCTGGCTGGATCATGAACTGAGATGGATCAAGTGTGACAAAGAATCACGAATCACACACACAGCACACAGGTGCCCCAACTGGACCAAAGTTTTAAGATACACAGCCTATACCTCCTGAAATCATGCTTCCACATGCCCTCGGGTGGAAGGAGCCAGGGCCCACCCTGAACCGCTCAGTACTGGGAGCCCCACCCTTTTTTCTGCTGCCATTGTCTGCCTTGCTGGGCCTGAGGGCTGGCATTCCAGGAGGTGGAATGTCCTTGCCAGGCCCAGGACAGGCCACCAAAGCCATTGCATTCGCTCTGCATATGAACAGCAAGAA